TCTCGATAATCATATTTATTTGAGATGTTACCTTATTTAAAAATATTTTACTTTGAAAACTCATTTTGAAAATAAATGCATGATATACGTGAACATAATAAAATAAATGAATGCAAGAAATAACGTAATATGAATACATAGCAATTTAAAAATTTATGTAACAAAGTAAAATGTGATGTAAATGCATGAATGGCGTTAAAGATTGGTTTTAGGGTTTAGGGTTTTATGGTTTTTGAGTTTAGGGTTTCAAATTTAAAATGTTATGAGCATTTAGGGTTTCATGGAATCATGCATGTGACAAAAATAAATTACAAAAATGATATTGGTAAAAATGTAAATATTTTATGCATGTGATATGTGTATAACAAAGGAACAAACAAATTACAAATATAAGCATTTACAAAACTAAATTACAAACAAAATATGCATGTGAAAACATGTGAAAAATGAATCAAACACAAAAATTTTTCAAACTTTGAAAACATGTTCTACCATTATTCTTCCTTGAAAACCAACCAAATAACGATAAAAATCAACAAAATAACCTACTAAACTAACATTTTTTGCATAGAAGTTAAATTAAACAGATTGAAAACTTGATAGACCAACCAAAAACACAATCAAAAAAATATGAAACAAACAACATTTAGCCATGAACAAGGTTGGAAGTTTCAGCCAAGCATGGGAATGGCCTGGCATAATGCTTCCTTAGCTATTCCCAAATCATACAATCATTTACTAAGGCAAGTCATGCATCAATCACTTATCCAATCATCATATGAAGGGATTTATACCATGAGAAAAACTTTATCAAACATGTGATGAACTAATTAGAATAAAAATTATGAAAGCAAAAACATTAGCCAAACAACCAAACATTTACAAACAAACTAATCAAAATTCAAGTAAATTAGCAACTAAATCATCCATAATCGATTACACTTCTGTTAAGCCCTAAATTTTATTTGTATTTTAATATTTTAGGTTAATTTTTGTTTTTTAGCCAAAAGAGTCAAAGTCAATTGATAAAAAAAATAAAAAAATAAATAAAAATAAAAAAATACTAGATTTTGCATGGAAATCTTGGATTCAATTCAACTCTTAGATTTAATCTCAAATTTTAACTTTAATGGTTGAATAATTTTGAAAAGACCTGGGGCTCAATTTATTGGAAAAAGAAAGATTACACAAAGAATAAAATTTAGAGAGAAATCCTAGATTCAGTTGAATTAATTTCTTTCAAATCGAAAGGGATTAAATTCCTATATAAGGACCTTGAATCTAAGATCAAAAGGGAGGCATCATAGCAATTCACGTTAAGATCAAACAGAGATCATTGAAAAAAGATAAAATTTGGGTAAAGTTTTGAATCAACAAGAAAGAAGCAATCAAGTAAAAAAATTTGCAAGAAGATCCAGTTAAAGTTTTTGAAAGGAAGGTTAAGATTTATAGTAGGAAGTATCAGTTTTTTAAAGATGAAAAATTGTTAGAACCCATGATCCATTAAGGTAATGTTTGCTTTTTTTTTGTGATTTTTGAATAACTTTTATACATTCAATTGCATATTATTTGCATGATTTATATTGTTGTTTGCATGATCATATATTTAATTGCATGATTTATATTGTTAATTGTATGATCATTGCATGATCATATATTTATTTGCATGATTTATATTGTTAATTGCATGATCATATATTTATTTGCATGATTTATATTGTTAATTGCATGATCATATATTTAATTGCAAGATATATATCATTAATTGCATGATTATATATTTAATTGAATGATTTATATGATTATATATTTAATTGCATGATTATATATTTAATTGCATGATTTATATTGTTAATTGCATAATTATATTTTTGATTGAATGATTTATATTGTTAATTGCATAATTATATATTTAATTGCATGTTTTACATTGTTATTTGTATGATTATATATTTAATTGCATGTCTATTTGCATGATTATTAATTTATTTATTTGTGTGATTGTATGATTAATAATATATCTATTTGCATGGTTATTTATTCAGTATTATTATTGCATGATTTTATTTTATTGCATGATATGATATTATATTAATTTTGAATGATATCTAATTACATATTTTTATATTTATTATGTGCATAATTGCATGATTATATTACTAATATATTTGTGTAATTATATTTGATTTCATGATTATATATTTGCTTGGTATTTTATATTGTTGCATGGCATTTTATGTTGTAATATATTTGCATGACATTATATATATATATATATATATATATTTATATGATCATTATTACTGCATAATTATGTATAATTGCATGAATGACTTTTATGATATGATTGCATGATATAATTTTATAATATATTTGCACGATAATTTTAGTATGGTATAATTTAATATTTATTGCATGATTGCTTGATATTTTGATAGAATTTTTGCATCACCATATTAAGCTTTTGGTTTGCATGATAAAAACTATATTTGATTAAGGCTAAGATAAGATAACACAATTAATGTGATACCAATTTTGGGTATAAAAAGGTGCTAATACATTTTCTGTATGTAATCGACCTCCAAACCTTAATTATGTTGATGTAAACTAAAACCTATTCTTTTTAAAGACCTTTAGTTTAGGCTTAAGATAACCCTAAAAACAATAGATTCATATAAGTGGCCAATCACACCTAGATAAAAAAAGTTCGATGGTGACTTCATGATTTTTGTGTCTAATAGATAGGTTTCCCAACCTGAATGTTATGACAGATAGTGGTGCTAGACAGGGAAACTTGCTGCTCTTGTAAAATAGGTTTCAGGGTACTGAAGTTTGCTCTTGTAAAACTAGTTGGTTGTAGGGCTGCTGGCTTCAATTATCTTCTTTTTTTTTTTAATTAAAGTATTTAAATCTAAGAATAAAATTGGGCTTTCAAATTTTGGGCTTTAAATTTTGATTTTGGATATTAGGCGTTTAAGCTCATATAACCTAATTTTAAATTAACCTAACTTGAATCGGATGAAGCCAAAGTCTATGTAAAATGAAAAAAATAAAAAAAATAACTAATCTGAAACAAGTCTAAACAAACTCAATTCAATTTAAATGTTTAAACCAACCCAAACAAAATGTTAAAACTAAGTATAAAAATCAAATAAATCCAAATTGACTCAGACAAAATTAGATGTCTATAGCAAGACGGAAAATAAGTTGAGAGCCTAACCTAAACAGAATGTTAAAACCAAGTATAAAAATCAAACAAATCCAAATTAACTCATATAAAATTAAATGTCTACAGCAAAAGACCAATAGATTGGGAGCTAGATTTGACTCCCGATGTCATGATTGACCAAGCAAGGGGCCAGTTTGGCCTTAATTATCAAAATGGACACTATGAGGGCCAGATCAACCCTTTTACACGATCATTTGGCTTTTAGTAGTGGGAAGAGAAAGATGAAAAAATGAGGAGAAGAAAAGAGAATGAAAAGAAAATGAAAATGAAGAAAAAATAAAAAATATTAATTAATTTAAATTATATATTAAAAATATTATTTATTTTTTTATAATTTAATTTATTAGTAAAATATATTTTCTTAAATAAAATAGGTTTTAAAAACTTATATTTATTATAATATTATTTATTAGTAAAGTATTTTTTCTTTTTAAATAGAAAATAATTTTTTTGACAAAAATAGAAAATACATTGTTATTATTTTTATTATAATATGATTTATTAATAAAATATATTTTCTTTTTAAGTTGAAAATAAATTTTAAAATTATATTTTTATTTTTATTACAGTACAATTAATTAGTAAATATATATCTTTTAGAAATAGAAAACAAATTTGCAAAAATTAAGATTAAATTAAAATTTCCAATAAAATAATTAATTTAATTTATAATATTAAAAGTTATTAGCATTTATATTTTATCATAGTATGATTTATTAGAAAATTATAATTTCCTTTTATAGAAAATAGATTTTTTAAAAAAAAATTATGATTAAATTAAAAAATTCAACAAAATAATTATATATGCTTCATCAAACATGTGTTTAACTTGTGTTACATGTGTTGCCTAATTGGTACTTAACCTCAAAATTAACGGAAAATTGATGAAAGGACCGTTTAGTTATAACATTGGAAATATCATTAAGTTATTTTTGGAATTTTGAGAACCAAAATGATAAGAGATCTAAAGTTTAAGGACCACAATTGTAATTTATTTATTATAATATAAAAACACTATGAGTAAAGGGATTAACACTTTGACCTGAAGTTTAATTTAGTTCATGTAATTATAAAGGTAATATTCGATTGATTTAAAATTTAAATTTTAATACTTGTAATTTTTTTTAATTTTATTTTGTGATTTTTTTTATAAAATAAAAAATTTATATCTTGGATATTATTAAGTAAATATAATAAAAATTAATGAATAGCAAGTGACTTACCTTGTTTATATATAGGTTTTTTTTTTCAATAAAATAGAGATTCGAATATAAGATTTGTACTCAAAATTCATTGCACTTTTATCACTAAGTTAAGTCCAATTACTTGTCTACAAAGAGTTTTGTGAGAGAAGTGTCTTGTTTCTTATCAAACGTGCGGTTTTACGATTAATTTTGTTTTTATTGATTATATCATACTATAATTTTAATCTTTTATCTAAGCATGAATTTGTTAGAAAGCCAACTAGGTTAACTTGAGCTAGCTATATCAGTCTATCAGATGAACTTGGGCCTATCATCCAACATCGATCTGTAGGTAATGACTTTTTCTTTAAAGAAAATAATTTTCCTAGTTAAAATCAGTGTTGATAACAGAGATTCAGCAGCCTTAACCTTAACCGAGAAACAAGTAATAATAACAGTCCAATCCCATAACATTGGCCGCCAAATAAAGCCCAAACTGAGACTAAAAATGCTACGCATTTGGTAGAAGTTTTATTCAGATCATGTCAATTATTCGTACTTATATGTTGGACCTAGAAAAAACCGAGTCAGTCAGTATCTTCCAAAAGATTTGCCAATTCTGAGAACATCTCATTTTCTTGATCTAGCATGGCTGCCACAAATGAACTATCAGTGGATGATGAAGCACGAAAGCTATAGCTTGGAACCTCACTATCCATTCCTTGGAGTGCTCCATTATTGTTATTATTATCTATATGTTCAGCACTAGTCTCATTGTCCTCGGATGGGAATTCCAGGATGTGATCTTCTTGTCCATGCGGATGATCAGCTGGTGAAAATGCATCTTCAAGAAGAAAATCACGCCAGCTGAAGGCTATACCTGATTTTTCTTGTGCTGCAGTGGAACAAGAAGAAGTAGAAGTAGAAGAAGATGATCGTGATGATAATGATAATGAGTATTGATAAGGGAACTGAGGTGAGATGGTTTGGTAACCAGTGTAGTTTGAGGCTTCTGTCACTAGTTTTATAGCTTGCAGCTGAGAAAGGAGATCCAGAGAATCACTGTCAGCTTGACGGTTAATGCTGTTGTTTGACATGAAGTTGTCCTGGATTGGTTCCATTCCAGGTGATGCCATTGTTGTCATCAATCGGTTGTTGATGTTGGAAAATCCTTCTGCTGCTGCTGCTGGAGAAGGATAAGGCTCTGGCTTTATCACAAATGTATTCTTCATGTCTCTATTGAGAGATCCGATTTGGGTTCTAGATTTTGGGAGGCCACCAATGTTTCCATAATCAGCTAGGATTTGAGAAAAAGGCTTGTGAGTAACAGGATCAATCCCAATTTCAGAAAGTTTCTTTCTCAGCTTAGTATTCCAGTAATTTTTTACATCATTGTCTGTTCTCCCAGGAAGCTGTTGGGCTATGATGGACCACCTGGACCACAAAACAGACACACACAGAAAGAAAGAGAGTCACAAGTCTTGCACCAATAACCGAAACAGGCTGTTAAAACGGTTAGCCTGCATGCATCATTGAAAGTTATGTTCGTTATGAACCCATGAGAAAGGGGAATGCAGTTGCAGAAACATGAAAAGTTCCATGAGATGTGTCACACTTTTGGGTGATAACGTGATAATTTTTCAGGGTACAACTTAAATAAGATTTCTGATTCTAATGAGCCTAATGGGAATAAACCAAGTGTTCAAATTAACTTCCAAAAAATGATTTTGCATTTTCTGGTGTTTGTTAGATAGAAAATTGAATCTTCATCAGAAAATGACTTACTAATCAATGAAAAATAAAATCTTTTTGAAAATTATCTTTCTCTTTTGAAATGGAAAGACAATTAAATTCGGCAAGCTCTTGAATAACAACCAATAACTTTAGCATGGAAATTTACCATGTGGATTTGGGAAGAGAAGAAAGCATGTGACTGCTAAAATATGTAACACAGACAAGAAAGCTCCACAGGTTAGTAATATTGAAGAGAAGAAAGAAGAAGCATTCACTCAACTTAATTCAGGAAGGAATGTGGATGTAATTAAAGGAAAACATTATTTCATAAGGCTAACAACGATATTCTACCTGCTTCCAATAGCTGCATGAAGCCTAATTATTAACTCCTCTTCCTGGGGAGTGAAGCCCTCACGTTTAAGATCAGGTCTCAAGTAATTAGTCCACCTATGTCTGCAACTTTTCCCACATCTTCTAAACCCTGGAGAGCACGCTCAGATATGGCATTGAGGTCCATAGAAAATAACAAAAGGGTTAGTTCTAAAACTACAAAGTAATGAAATTACAACAAACTGATATCTCAGTATCAAAAAACTTCAATCATTAACCTGCTTTTTTCGGAACAGCAGTCCAGTTACCAGTTCCATGTTTTGATACATGGGCAAGTATCTTTGCATCTTCCTCTTCAGTCCAGAGGCCTTTTTTGACATTCAGCTTGTCACAACAAGGAGGTCTCACCATCTTGTCAGTTGATTCAGAATTACACTCAAAATTGAAAAGGCGATAGAAAAAGGAAAAAATGAGAAGAGGGGAGGAGGAAGAAAGATTTTAAGGTATAAGTGAGCAGGCATGAAAAGCATGAGACTTGATCCCATATAATGAAATTTGCATGATGAATGGCATCTTTGCATTAGCAATGAATTGACGATATACTCATACATACACTTTGCTCCAAGAGCAGAAGAGTCAGGTTTGAATTGGGTGCATTTTCTGGTTAAATTTAGAAAATATGTAAGTAAAATAACATAAGTTTTCAATTATTTAGAGTAATCTATTCCTTGTGTGGAGAGGAAATGACTTTTGTTTAAAGTTTCTGATAATCACAAGTTTGATGAGAGTAACTATTTTAAACAAGAGATCCAGCTACTTGAAGAAATGATTAAAAAAAAAGAAAAAGAAAAACCTCCAATTAAGTGTACTTGCAAGTTGTAAACACCATTTCTGCATGATACACGGCTAAAAACCGTCTAAATCTGATACTCTAAGAGCTTTAATTCACTTTAAGAGAACTAAGAGCATAAGTGATGAAACTTATGCTGAACCTCAGGGGTGAGAGGGATGGTGTATCTGTATCATAAAATGCTGGTCACACATCCTACAGGCAAAGAAAATCACAATGGCCCTAGGGGCGGATGTACATGTACAAGTAGGGTGTCCATGGACGCTCCATGAAAATTGAAAAATAAAAAAATTTGAAGAAAATTTTCCCCCAGGACATTCTCAAAATTTTGCCTTGGATACTCTTTCCATCCACAAAATTAGCACATAGTAAGCGCGCGTGCACACACACACACACATATATATATATATATATATTATAAATGGATACTTCCAGGAAGAAAAGAAAAAGTGAATCGCCCCAAGGTCATGAATGGTACAAGCCTGCAATCCGAAATCGTTATACAACATCAAACTCCCTAGAGTTTGTCTCCCTAGTCAAGGACTCCAGGCCCCAAAATCCCCACAATGTAATCAACAAGACAGATAGGTTCTTTCAGAAAGAACAATGAAGTATGCTATATATAACGTTATAATTCTACAAGCTTGTTGATACAATTTGCTGCAGAACAAATTGAACAACACCTGAGATAGACGTAACCATTAAAAGTCCTTACAACTGGATAGATAACAGCATATAACATGTCCATTTTCTTGGAGGAAGACTAGAAAGATCCCCTTGAAAACATCCCTAGCTACTGCCTTTTGCCCCAAACTCAAGAAATGAACGAGGACAAGAAGCTTTTTAATCACTGTAAAGTAGATTTACTTATTCATAACAACAATCAATGTAGCCATATTTGATAGTTACTTGGCCAAATCCACGATTGAATCTCTTTCATGTCAAGCTTCTTCCTTTAAGCTTAAATTCAACTATTCCTTTTTCATGCCGCTCAGAATTGGAAAGCTGGCCTTTATTACAGCATGTTGGATATTGAAGTTGGGTCGATCCTTTTATGTTGTATCAAATTTCTCGCAGGAGTCAGGATTGAGCTCTAAGGCAGAGTAAATGTTGTAGAAAGTTCCAATTGGGAGGAATATACATTACACCAAGTAGCTCCAGCTGGAGAAATTTCCAAAGAAGTAGACAAACATGCGTGCAGCCTCTGCTAAAAGCCAGTCAGTAAACTTCTTGGAAGGAGTAATTTCTTGGGATTTCAGAAAATCTATGGCAGCCTTAGATTTTGCGTGAAAACAATAAGAATTTAATCACGGACGGACTTACTTAGCCAGAGAACCATTAGAAGAGAGCTGCTCTGGATACAGTTGCAAAGAGGTAAATAATGATTGATTACAAGATGATTCATGAATTTACCGATATGGTCTGTCAAATTCCATTTTTAAAAAACACCATGGGAAAAAATTAATTTGTAAAAAAGCAGATAATTCAGGGCAGAATTAGAATAATAAATGGTTTTTATGTTAGAATAAAAATCTTGGATATGTCTGTTTATTACTTTATTCCTCTTTACTGGCAGACCGTACAAACACGTGGTTCACAGCTACTAACTTTTTTCCTGGCAAATCTGACCAAAATATAAATTCCTTGGTTCAGTTAATGATACGTCCATCAGGTCCTTTTTGTACTAAAAGTTTCACGTTCTTATAAATTCAACGTAACTCGTGTATTGTACTAATATAAAACGCTAACAACTCGTGTATTGATGATATATCTTATATAAAAATTAAAAATATAAAATTTATATTTAAAATTTATATATAATTTTTATTAAAATTTTAAATTTAATCATAGTTTTATTTTTTTATTTTTTTATATTATATTATTTTATTTTATTTTAGATTTCAAATTTAAATTCAATTTAAATTGTATTGGTTATTATATTGATAATTTAAAATGCATGTATCTTATTTATTTGTATATAATTTAAAAAAAATTATTTATATTATTTAAATAATTAAGTTAAGTGTTGAAGTAAATCAAATCATTTGGACTTGTTAAGAGTTTATTTAATGTGTTAAATAATTTTCAAAATTAAAGATTAGGTATTTGAGTTTATTTAGTAAATAAATTTATTTGTATTTAAATTTTTTGTATTTTTAAATTTTGAAATATTAATAAAATATTATTTTTATTTTGAATAAGTATATTTAAACAAAAAAAAATATTAATACAAATTATCATAATTTTTTAAATAAAAATTTTGCGACTATTGATTTATTATAAATAAATCTTTTTATCTAATCAATATCATTACTTTTGATAACGAAATTTTTAAGATTTTATTATATTATATAAACACAATTACATTTTAAATAATATTTTATATGCCTCAATTTTTTTTTCTTATTATTTTTATTTTCAAAATTTTTTAAGATACTGATAAAATTTTAACCTATAATATTGCATTTGTGCGTATGATTAAACGTAATTGAATCCCAATTGGGCTTTTCATTAGTTAAAGTAACAATTTCAATTAAGCTTTTTTATTTTTTATTTTTTATTTTTTATGTTTGGGTTATAATAGGTTGTTCCTTGACTTCTTTCTACGGGGCTTTGCTGCAATTTTCTAACGGACATAATTATAAATCATGCTTACACTCCAAGTTTTTGTATTATGCTTATCTTGTTGAGTGATTCAAACAAATCTTATCCATTAATTAATGAGATGAAAATGACACCGTGTTGAAGTCCACCGTTTGTCATTTCAATTGTTGGTATGGTGATAATGCTTTATAAAGATTCTCTAGCTAACGAAATATCTTAGGTAAATTACAAGTTTAGCCATTAAATTTGGAACGATTTTTTATTTTAATTATTCAATTATTAAAAATTATTTATTTATTAACATTTATAAAATTAATTTTTTTATCAGTCAATTGCTACATACTGATATGATATTATCATATCATTTATTAATTATCACAAAATATTATCATGTTATTTGATTAAACATAAGATTTTTTATGAAGTGTTTTTATTTTTGTAAGAATGATTTTTTTTATATGGAATCCTTAAAATATGATCCGTAATTGTAATTTGTTTAATTAGTGAAATGAAGACATGGAAGATTAAAATTTGGGATGTTTATTCTATTTGTATCCATTTTTTTATTATAAAAATATCTCAAATAAAATTATTTAATTAATTTTGATAAATTATTTTTTAATCCCATTTATTTTAATTTGTAGTGCATACAAAAATATATATTTTAAAAGTTTAAAAATCTTTTTGAAGCTTATATAAACCTCACTTCTCAAACTCCAAATCACAAATTTCAAAATTTTCAAATTTATATTTTCGAAAGATTTTAAAAACATTTGAATTTATATATTCGAAAATTTTTGAAAAAATTTATAAATGTAAATCTAAAAACTTGCATACAAAAAAGCATTTTAATAAATAATGATTTTACAAAAAAATATATAAATTATAACTCATAAAACCATTCAATTATTTAAACTTCATAAATAAAGTATTAGATGAGTTGTAATTATTGATTTCATTTGAAAATTAACAATTTCAAACTTTGATTTGAGTGACAATCAAATAAAAGGGAAAGGAAGAGATTGAAATAAAAGGATTTACAGGTTTAGATTGTAAATGGGAAATGAGGATAATAAAGGAATTGTAATTTTAGGAGCTTGGAGTGTATGTAGTAAAAATAAATTTAAGGGTTTGAATTTGGGGATTATTACTAACAGGATGTGTACAGTAAAAATTGGGGGCAAATAAAAGCACCCAAAAATTTGCTTAAGTTAGGTTAAAAAAATAAAAAATAAAAAGCTGAGTAAAAAAGTTAAAAAAAAAATCCCGCAGAAAGTAAATAAATTAAAAAGTGTAACAATGACATAAAAAAAAAAAAGAAAGTAAAATAGAAAGAAACGGAAACACCTGGCTGCTATAGTTAACCTTGATGACAGAGTGCTAGAAGCTTAAAGCCTGCTGTGACAACCGGCTTTCCCATGAATATTGCACCTTTCATCAATTTTTTTCTATTTTAAAATTATTTTAATTAATTAAATAAAAATAAATTTAGTAATTTCAAACATAGTATATAATATCATACAAAAATATATAAAAATAAAAATTATATAATTTAAAATTTAAATAAAAACCATCATATAAAAATATTAAAGTGATTTTGTTTAAAATATTAATATAAATTGTATATAAATTTGGTAAAAATTAATAACTATGTTTTATATTTAATAAATTTATATAAATTATAATATAATAATTTCTATATTTTATATAAAATAAATACAAATTAAATACATGAATTATTTTATTTAGGTGCAAATTTTTTTGGCAAGTATAATTTTTTAGTTAAGAATTAAGATTTTCTTAATATATAATAAAAAAATAGCACCGTTCGATTTCAAATCAAAAGTCCCGTTATTAGTCCTTTCAACATAATAATACTACTAGTAAATTACTTTTTTTTATTATAATCGATGTGTTTTTTTAGGATCGACCGACTTCTCCCTCTCTGTCTCTTAATGCGTTCCCTTGCTTCATAACCAAACTGTTTCCTTTCTTTCTCCTTCTCTCTTCGGAGAAATCTATAAAATTTCTCCTCATTTTCTCAGTATCCGTTTCTTTGGGAGGAGAGGGAACTTTTTTTTTTTTTTTGTGAAATGAAGAAATCAAAATCATCGAAGCTAGACAAATTAGACAGATTTGACATGTTTATTTCGTTAGCGAAACAACGATCGGTTCAGATTCTAATCATCATTGGTTTCTTGTACCTAGTTTTGGTCACTTTCGAGATCCCTTTCGTGTTCCGAACTGGGTTCAGTACTTTGTCTCAAGAACCGTTAGCTCGGCTTCCCAGACTCGCCAGCGAGGTCGATGTTCAGGAAAAAGAAGCACCGAGTCGTCCCTTGAATTGGGTTTCCCAAAACTCGCCTTCGCCAACCCGGTTTCAATATCAAAATCAACATCAACATCAACAGCAACTCAGAACTCAGTCTGGGATCGTTTCCAATTTGTCTTTCGATGCCAAATCCTTCTACCCGAGTGACAAAGACGGGTCCTTGGAGCTCCATAAGTCCGCAAAGGTCGCTTGGGAACTTGGGAGAAAGCTCTGGGAGGAACTCCAATCAGGAAAAGTTAAAATTGACTCGACAAAGAAGCCCAAGAATGGATCCGAACTGTGTCCGTCTTCGGTTTCTTTATCCGGGTCGGAGTTTTTGGCCCATCGCAATGTCGTGGTGCTGCCCTGTGGGCTTACTTTGGGATCTCACATAACGCTGGTGGGGAAACCTAGAGGAGCCCATGCGGAGACAAATCCGAGGATTGCGTTGATAAAGGACGGGGAGGATCCTGTAATGGTTTCGCAGTTTATGATGGAATTACAGGGTTTGAGGACGGTTGATGGGGAGGAACCACCGCGGATTCTTCATTTTAATCCGAGGTTGAAAGGGGATTGGAGTAGGAAGCCGGTAATTGAGCAGAACACTTGTTATAGGATGCAATGGGGATCTGCTATGCGGTGCGAAGGGTGGAAGTCTAAAGCCGACGATGAGACTGGTTAGTTTGATTTTTGTTGTTGTTGTAGCTTTTGTTTAATTGATTTTGTGAAAAAAGATGTGATTTTTTAAGCTTTCAATAGCTTGCTTAGAGGTGAAGTGTTTAGTGTTTAGCTTAGTAGATTGTTGTGTTCTATATGCAATTTATATAGGAAACTGAGTTGATGCATCATGCACATACTAATTGGAGGTGGAGGAAATGAATTGTGTTTCTCATTGATTTTTTCTTAGCATCTAATGGATAACAGAAATATTTAAGACATGTCAAATATGTTTCTGTTTGGATGTATGTTAAATCAAGAATTTGGGTGTTTTAGAATACAAATTTAATTACTACTGAAGTTCTTAGCGAATTTACTCGTCATCCTTACATGAAGAAAGGATAAGTTGGTATGTGGATTTGGAAATACGATTTCTTTCCATTTTTATTTTTTGGCTCTTTCTTTCTCGTTTAATTGATGGATTATGACACACATGGTGGTCATAATCGAGCTTTGCATTTGCTTTTGACTTGTGATTTTATAGATAGCATGTTCGATTTGTCTGCTGCAAGGAAAATGCTACCGTTGCTAGGATTGCTTCTTCAAAATCTCCTTTCTAAATTTGATGGGTTGCCATTTTAACTTGGGTTTTATCAAAATATGGGCTACTAATGTATGTAACTTAGAAGCCGATAGGAGAATCTTTAAACTTGAAATTAATATCAGGGATTTGTAGCCTGAATAGTAGCTGGAATATACCGATACTCTTATGTCATATGGAGCTATATTGCCCCCCCCCCCCAAAAAAAAAAAGAAAAGTAGATAAAATAAGAAAGAAAGTTTTCTTCTCGCATTTGAGAAACTCCATGTCTTGCTCTCTTTTCTTCCTTTTTCCTTGCAATCCTTGCTTTGCCACTGTATCTTTGCAACTGTTTGACAGCCAGCAAATAATGATATGTTGTTTTGAATTGTTCCAGTAGGTGTTCTTTATTTTCATTGATCCTTTATTCTCATGCCATAAAATGTCTAATTCTTTATATTTTCAGTTGATGGTCAGGTGAAGTGTGAGAAGTGGATCCGGGATGATGATGATCACTCTGAGGAGTCTAAGGCAACATGGTGGTTGAAACGGTTAATAGGCCGAACAAAAAAGGTGAATGTTGACTGGCCCTTCCCATTTGCTGAGGGCAAGCTTTTTGTCCTGACTCTTAGTGCTGGTTTGGAAGGATATCATGTTAATGTTGATGGGAGGCATATTACTTCTTTTCCCTATCGAACTGTAAGTTATATAATGTAAACTTAATATTATCCATCATGTTGCATCTTGATTCGTTCTTGATGTGATTCCATAATGTTGGCAGGGGTATACCCTTGAGGATGCCACTGGACTAACTTTAAATGGGGATATTGATGTCCATTATGTATTTGTGGCATCTTTGCCTACATCAAATCCTAGTTTTGCTCCTCAAAGACATCTTGAGATGTCCAACAGATGGAAGGCTCAACCACTTCCTGAGCAGCCTGTGGATCTGTTTATCGGTATACTTTCGGCAGGCAATCATTTTGCTGAGCGGATGGCTGTAAGGAAGTCTTGGATGCAGCATGAACTTGTTAAATCTTCAAATGTGGTTGCTCGTTTCTTTGTGGCAATGGTAAGTTAAGACTATTGTAGTGCTTAAAAGTTTGATAATTTCATGCTTAAATTCTGTATTTAACAACCTTCTCTGACTGTTTGGACAGCATGCAAGAAGGGAAGTGAATGTAGAATTGAAGAAAGAAGCAGAATTTTTTGGAGATATTGTTATTGTGCCTTATATGGACAACTACGATCTTGTTGTGTTGAAAACTGTTGCCATCTGTGAATATGGGGTGAGTAGTGAAATTCTTTCCCGTTTTAAAGAAATGAATACTTTTAACTTGTCTTGAGAATGTTTAATGGGTTTGTTTGTTATAGGCCCGTGTGGTGGCTGCCAAGTTCACAATGAAGTGTGATGATGACACATTTGTGAGAGTAGATGCAGTTATCAATGAAGCGAAGAAAGTAAATGAGGATAGGAGTTTCTATATTGGTAACATAAACTATTACCATAAGCCCCTACGATCTGGTAAATGGGCAGTAACATATGAGGTATGTGGCGGTCTAATATACTGTTGTTTATTTCATTTGTTCAGTTAAAGTGCAGTTAAATGAATCATGCATGATTTGGGTTGTAGAAAGACCTACCTACATAAGTTGTGCATTTCTGTTGTTTCATCACATAATTTTGCTCACTTGTGACTGTATTTTATTTGTTGAAAGTTTGAGCAATTGGAATTTTGTAAATAATTTAGGGTGAATGCAAAATTGCTATACCATAATTTGCTTCAGTGATTGATTTTGTGGAATCTGTGGGAAGCAATATGCACTTGTAAATAATTTGTGTTGATGTTCTTATTGGCTCTTAAGTTCTAACCCATGTATTTGGCGTTTTAGGAGTGGCCAGAGGAAGCTTATCGGCCCTACGCAAATGGACCTGGATACATATTGTCATCTGACATTGCGCACTTCATCGTTTCTGAGTTTGAAAGACACAATTTAAGAGTGAGTAAACTATTTCCTCTCCCTTTCTCTCTCTGAAGATCATGGTGTCTGGCACGTTTTACATAATATTTAAATAATTTGCAGTTGTTTAAGATGGAAGATGTGAGCATGGGACTGTGGGTGGAGAGATTCAACAGCTCAAAACCGGTGGATTATCTTCACAGCTTGAAGTTCTGCCAATTTGGATGCGTAGAAGATTATTACACAGCTCACTACCAGTCCCCAAGACAGATGATGTGCATGTGGGACAAGCTGCAAAGGCAGACAAGGCCTCAATGTTGCGACATGAGATAGTGTTTCTCTCATATGTAGACAGATTTTGCAGTCTTAGCCTCTCTCTCTCTCTATTGTATATTTTATGGAGGGATAGGTTAGTTGTATTTAGGTTGTCTTAATTCAAATTTATTCTTTATTTTTCCGGAGATCCGTTCTTTCTTTTTCTTCCTATTTTTTAGGTTTTTTTCTTAAAGAAAGTGGGGAATCTTAGAGGCAAAAGAGGGCAGTGAATCATTCATATCAGAAAATGAAAGAGAGGTGGCAGATATAGGAACATTTTGGTCACAATTCCTTCTGTGATCTTTAGTATGATAAAGGCATTAGATGGGAATAATTCCTCTCACTTGGGCTTCTTTTTTTTTTTTTTTAAAATACCATTCTTTCAGACCTTTAGCACTAAAGTTGTCTGCCATGCAACCAAAGCAGACTCAATTTAGTGCAAAAATGCCTCTAATTCTTCGACAATGTATCGACCTAAGCGCAATAGCAGCATACCATGATATCATTTATAATCATTTTAGTATAATTAATTAATTATAATTTAAAATTATGTGAAATTTATCAAAATTTTATATGAAATTTATATTTATAAGTGGTGAACTTTTACATAATTTTTTTATTATGATTAAATAATTGTAAGATTATAATAAAAATAATTATAAGTAAAATATTATTGCACAATACTCATTAAGTAATAAGTAATTAGTAAGTGACCCAAGCTTCGTATGGTTTTTTGTATGTATTGTTGTGTATATTGTATAAACATAGTTAAAGAAGATGAAAAGAAAAATGAAAGAGAACAAAATACAGAAGTAAAAGTTATATTTAGAGTTGTCAATAAAGTTCAAAAGTTTGATAGAAAATCTAAATAAATACAAAAACTTCCTCAAGTAAAGATAAGCACTTTAGAACAACAATATTTACTTTAGTAGTTACTAAATAAGTTAAAAGTTCCATGAAAAAGTTGAGGAAGTAACCGCAAAAACTTTCTCAACGAAATATTAGTACTTTAAGAAAACTATTGTAAGCAAGTTAGACAAATTATTGATTATTAATTGTTCTTATAGGCAATAAATTTCATTTTTTTTTGGTCCAACATTGATGAAGATGCAATGGTCTCCTAGATTGAGGTTATTGTCATTTGCAAATTGGCACCAACCTCCAAAGAAAACTTTGTTTTCCCTTCACATATGTACTAGACCTCCCATTTTTTGTCATTGTTTGGAATGGAAAGGGTGATGAGGGATAGTTTTTTGGGTAGATGTTTTTTGGCAAATCAATTTGGAATGTGTTGTTTCAATACAAATGTTATTTAAGTTAGATAAAAAAAATAAAGTCAATTTATTAAAATGTGAAAGATGAAGTTGTTCATTACCAAAATGTAGAAGGTTCGAAGATTGGTTTTAGTTAGCATGCAAATGAATGTAGTTATGTTCTCTTCATTGTTGAAGTTGTTTTCAAAGTCATTCTTTTTTATCAAAATCTTTAATGTTATATAGAATAAAATTTTCAGATTGTGAAGGTAGGTCTTCCAAGTTGAAAGCTTCCATGTCAACATTTGTTAATTGTTGTCCTTGGGATAAGTTAGCTTGGTTTCGAGTATCATGTAGTGTTGGTGCTAAAAAAAAAAAAAGATTCAATAATTGTTTTGAAGTAAGAAGTCAAGAAATAAGAAATGAGAAACCTTTTTTGGTTTGGATTGCATTGGTAGTCAACATGATTCTGCTACAACTAAAGAAGTAAACATAAAATATTTTGTTGTTTTGGTTGTATTTAAAAATGGCAAAGTCTCCTAATTGGAGGCAATAGGTAGCAACAAAGTTTCTCCAACCATTGTGGAAGTGCAGAGCATCATGAATCATAGTCAAGTTAACTTTGAATGTTTGTGGGTCTAATCCTTTAAGGTAAACTTTTTTTTTTTAGTTTGCAAATCTTGCATGTATAGCTGAATAAAAGTTTATGGAAGTGGTTGGATTTTTCTTTTTTTAGTAAAATGAAGAGTTTGTTAGTTTTTTAACCATAATTGTCCTCATTTTTTTTTTCATAGAAAAGATAACATGCATGGAGTATGATGTTTGTTTACTACTATAATATACAAATGTAAAGAATTAATTTTTCTTGATTAAATAAAATGTAAAAACACAAAATGCAAATAAGTACAAGAAATTTGGGGCCTATATCATGGATATAAAACAAATAGATGAATGTAAATGTTACTTGAAATAGACGCATCAAATTCAAACAAAGAAACGGTGTCGTGTTCGTGTATAGTTTTGGGTTAATAGGATTGTCAAAGAAACAAATAGATTATAATAACAAAGAAAAAAAAAACTGATTATAGCAACAATGAAACAAAAAATTGTCAAGGAAAGCAATAATAATAAATCTTGATTGCCAAACAATGGAACAATGCAATAAAAGAAAATTAACAATAGTAAAAAACAAAATAGACTTGTATAGAAATCTTGTATTTATTCTAAACAACAATAAGAAATTTTGTTATGATAGAACCCTAAATCCTTGCAAAGAACTAAACAATTGATCAATTTATTTGCTTACCATTGAGTCACGTATAACTGTTGATTGAAGCATAAACATGATGAATTGGGGCAAATTGTCTATAGATACCATATTGAGAGAGGTGAAAATAGTGGCACAGTCAACTATTGAGGAATAGATAGATGTAGAGTTTTAATCCTTCTATGTTTTGTATGCCAAGAAAATGAAAAAATTTGTTTTTGAATGGGTTTACATGCGTAAAGGCTAAAGGGTTTTGGAGAATTTGGTAAGAAAAAATTTTTTTTCAACAAAACATAGTGGTAATATATTTAAGACCATCATTTTAGTTATAGTTTTTTTTTTCATTTTTATTAATGTATTATTGTGAAAATAATTTTTTTTACTAATATAAATATAATAATATATTTGTTTATTATGGAAGTGAAATATAATTAAAGTAATTATTTGTAGTTGTATTGATTTTATATTTCAAAGTTAAATTTAAATACTAAATAAAACTAAATATTTTATTTATGGAATAAAATAATTATCTTTTTTGTAAAATTTTTAGGAATATGTATGATATTATTTGCAAGAGTAGTTTACATTTATACAATCAAATGGTAAATTTGATTATGGAACAAAACTTTATTTACTTGAAATATAGTTAAAGTTAAAAAAAAATTATTAATTTTAAAGCATGTAGCTGTAATTTAGTGTGAATACTTGATAAAGAAAAAATTTTGTATTCAATTTAAACTTAATATTCTACATCCATATATTTTTGCAAATGTTTAGAGAAGTTATATAAGTAAAATAATTCAATCAAGAATGCATGCTAAGTAGCAACAATTTTTATTTTCTTGTAACATAGACCCTACAAATTAGGATTAATGTTTATATGTGTTAAACGTTAACAAATTAGCATAATCATAGAAACCTACAAATAACCATTGCATCTTGGTAGTTCTGAAATAAATATTGAAGGCCAGCTATAAAACTTGCTGGCTGGTTTACTAATAGAATTATGTTGAAGCTCACCTATTGCAATTCAGTTCCATATATCTTTATACATGTTAGATAAAATAGCTTTTTGATTATCCTTGATAAATTTGAGTCACATTTTTTCAACACTTGCATATGCATCCATAATAAACTGTTGAAACACTTGACTGCCTTTCAACAAAGTATTACCTGGATCTATTGTGTTTTGGATTATATACACATAATATTCATTCATTGTCAGTATTTTTCATTTACACCTCTCTTTCTTGGATGAACTGACATATTTAATATCAATATTATAGTCATCATCACCATAAGGAAATAAAAGAGAATATTATAAAGCCATTAAAGAATTATGAAGATTACTGATTCTTTTCAAACCATTAGTTCTATGATTAACAATTATATTATGCCGCCTATCATACTTACCTATATCTCTTCTTATTAGTGTTGCAACTTTACCAGATGGAGGAATATAGGCTCTATCTCTTTGTTCCTTTGTCCATATCAACTTTAATCTTATAGGAATTTAATTTGAATTCCTGAATCGATCCCTAGCTGATCTAAATATTTTAACAATCTCATTAATTATGTCAAGCACCATAATCAATTCATCCACAAGTGTAGCATCTATTCTTAAGCTTTCATTATCATCTATAAATACAGCCATGCGATTCAAAATTTCATGTTCATTATTATATCTATACATCTGAGCAAACTTAGGATTTTTACTAAGTAGTGGAACCGAAAACCTATCCTATAATGATTTTGAATACAAATCTTAAAAGCATAAAAACATGCTCTATTATTTATGCTATTATTAACCTTACCCCCAATCGAAGTAAATTAAAACATTGAGCTATAAATTCTAATGTTATCCCTAAAATCATCATGACTAAGGAAATTATCTAAAAAATTTGGGTCTTCCTAAAAGCAAGTAACCAAACAATTTGTTATTGACAACAAAGACTAAACGTAGGATTATAAATTTTTTTTTTAGAGATATCAACATCCCTTTGTACCACATTAAAGCATTACAAAAAGGACAAATACATTTAAAACCACCAAAATTGAAAACAACAAAATAGGTTTATAGAAGAATGACAAACAAAATAGGCCCGTAAAACACTTATCAACATGGCACAAAATAAATCTAACATATTAAATCATAAATTATTAAAATAAATCAAATGAAACCAAATTTACTTGAATGTTGTATTAATCTTTTTCCCTACTAGAACAGTTTAAATCTCATTGACTTTTTAACCAAATTGTCATATCATGCTTGTTTCCTTCACACATTAAAGCAAAAAAATTGAAAACTAAACATAAATAAAGTATTCTCATAACAAAAAGCAATTAAAAAAAGTAAATGAATCGAAAATTATCAGCATGCTTTATGACCACAATATTTGAACCTCTACCATGACCAAAATAACTTATTGAATCATCTAATGAAAGCCTAAATTTTTTTTTTTGATAAAAGAGTTATTGAATCTCTTGAAATAAGAGATTTAGATGATTCAACCATAATTATCTCTAATTTTCCAATAATATTAACCTTTGAATATAACAATATATGATATTGATATTAATTCTCTCCATTACAATCAACAAAACATCATTCAAAACAATAATGGTAAATCCCACCAAATCATCATCCAGAATTAAAGGTTTTTTTTATACTAATATGTGTATCATTATATCTTATAATACCTAGCTTTTACCCTGACCAATAGTTGTATTATTCGAACATCCATCAATAATAAAATAAAGAAATATACCCAAAGAAACACCATGTTGCCTTATTAACTTAGTAGAATTCAACATTTTCAATCTTTTAATTCTATTATCTTTTGCCTAATTAACAGATTCATAATTAAAACCTACTACTCAATAAACCACAATACTAAAAATAACAAAAAAACAACATAACGACTTCAGATACAAATGAAAACATTAAACAATAAAAGATAATAATAATGAACACTCAGAAACAACATAAAGAAGTAAAAAAATAATAGAAAACAACATAATATCATAGGTTAATAAAGAAAAAAAAAAGAACAAAACAAAACCTTAACAATGAACTCACTTCAGACTAAATTAAACAACAACATTCAAAAAATCATATCAAAGAAAAAAATATACAATATTGCATTGAAACGTTTATCAAATAATAAAAAAAATTTTATTCAAACAACGGTTCTCACATATATATTTTTTAACATTTCTACAAAATAATCACCATCACTAGAATTTATTGCATAATTTTTTTAAAAAATTATAAACATAATATGGATTTTACAATTCAACTTACTATAAATAAATCCTCAAATAAACTCACATCAGATCAAAATAGCACAAAACATCTAAAAATTCTTGCATAAAATATAAAATACTTATCAAAATGAAGAAATATTCTTTCTCACAATATGCAAAAACCTTAACCTTTTCAATATATTAATCTCATTCTCTCTTTACCTGATTAATAACATCAATGATTTGCAACAAATATAGAGATGAAAAAAAATAAAGAAACAATAAATAACTTGCAACAACAAATGAAGACATAAAAAAAAAAAATCACAAATACTCAAAAACAATAAAAAAAAAATAGCACAACAACGTCCAGCAACAAATAAAGACAGCAAAATACTTATCAAATTAAAGAACAATTTTTTCCAACAACATACAAAAACCTTAACCTTTCAAATCTATTCATTCTATTCTCCTTTATCAGATTAACAACATTTAGAACTTATAACAAATGTATAAAAAAAATACATAACAACTTGTTACAATAAATTAAGCAATACACTAGAAAGTAAATTTTAATTGAAAGCAATACACCAATACAGTCAAATAAATGAAAAAATAACAATAACAAAACAAAACAAAACCTTAACAGTCAACTAACTTCAAACTAAAGTAGGCACTGACATTCAAGAAATTCTGTTAAAAAGAAAAAAATATATGATGTTACATCAAAACTCTTTAAAAAATATATAAATAAAAAACAGTTGCATTTAAACAATAAACCACACATATATTCTCTCTAACATTTCTATAAAACAATTACCATTATTGGAATTTACTCCATAATTTTTATCAAAAAAATTATAAATGGATTATAAATTTTATAATTCAACTCAATATAGATATATTCTAAACCAAGCTTATTTTATATCAAAACAACACAATAACTTGCAACAACAAATTAAGCAAAACTATAAACATATTATTGAATTTACATTTTGACTCAACATAAATAAACTCTCAAACAAACCCATCTTAGATAAAAAGAGTACAAAACCTCTAATAGTTCTTGCATAAAAAAATAAAGTACTTATCAAATTAAAGAAAAACTCTTCTCAATAACATGCAAAAAAAAAAAAAAATCTACTGAAACAATTTTACCAAATATATAAACATAACCCAAAAAAGACATAGATAATGAAAAGGAAAAAAAAAATTAGAACCAATTTGAGCAAAATGGCCATAAACTAAGAACCCAAAAATTTTCTCACCAATTAAAAAAGAAACTCATTAATCAAAGAAAACCTAAAATTTCTCAACAACCAAAGGACATAGAACCTTTCATAAACTAAAAAAAATTAAACAAGAAAAAAATTTCATTCAATCACAAATTTTAAAAATAATACTAATAAAAATCAAATAAAACCTACACATAAAAAAATAGCCATCAAAATATCAAATATAGAAAAAATATCGAAGTAGAGACAAACCTTAAACCCAAAAATAAATAAACATGATTAAAAATAAAAAAAATAAAGAAAGCAACAATAAACGATAGAGAAACAACATTGAGGCTTGCATAGACTTGACACAATTGTTCTGTATTTCATGCCACTTTTCTTCTTTCATTTCAAATCTCATTTAATATTAGCTCAACTACCAAAACAAAATTTTAGAAATAACAAAAACAAAGCGTAAAAATAATGTAAAAGCAAAACAAATGTCATGCTCTATAGCTATCAAAACAAAGCAAAGAAAACATCTACAAAAGGAAAAAAATCGTGGTAAGAAAACATTAAAACTAGACATGTGTAAGTTCGATGATCCTTTGAGATCCTTTTAATATGTAGTTGTATAGAAGTCCAAAAGTTTGTAAACAACAATGCAAACCCTCATACTTGAAAAATAAATATAACCAACATTATTAGATTAGCATTATTGTTGAAAGTAATTTTTGCCTTTAAAAATTACTATAATTCAAACATAATATTAAATAACAAAAAATTTAAGTTATGTTTGCTTGTAGAAAATATTTTTTTTGTTTTTATTTTCTAAAAACAAATTTCATTTTGTAATTGTTGAATTTTAAAAAACATGTTTGGTAGATGAAAATGAAAAATTATTTTTAAAAATAAAAATTTTGAAAATGTGTTTTGTGTTTACATTTTCAAAAAAATAAAAATAATAACTAAAAAATTAATGTCAATAATTAAATAAAGCATCAAAAATTAAACCAATCAAACCAAAAAAGAACAAAATCCAAATTCTACCATATCACTAAAAGCCCAAAAAGTAAAACTATAAAGTATAGCATGATTTAACCAACTAATCCCATTAACCTCATAATAATCCCAAAAAATGATAATAGAAACTACGATGAGTCTTTTTAAGGTAAAGGAGCTTTAAAAAGCTATTTATATAAGTCTTGACTTTGTTTCGCTTATAAGAAATCACAAGAAAAATGCCAAAAAAAAGTTTTTGCTCAACAAACAAACAATTCAATAAAAAAATAATTTACACAAGAAAAACTAAAATCAAATAATCAAACAACCATAATTTTAATTGCATACAATGAATAATTTGAGAGAAAATAAAAGGAAAAGAAAAAAAAAACATCGAAGCAAGGAAGGAGAATTAAAAAAGACATGACTTATAGGTTGTTTCAGCTTTTACAAAAAAAAAATCATAAAATTTTGCATCATTTATGAATTGAACTTGGGTGTTTAGAAAGTTTGCAATGAACAATTAAATTTTTTTTTAAATTAGTGTTTTCTCATTTTTCAATTACTCTCTATATTTTCTTTGAAAATGCTCAAAGCATTTTTTTTCTTTCTCTCTAATTTTGGCACACATTCATTCTCATTTTTTAAAAAATTATTTTATATTTTTTCAACCAAACATATTTTTGCCTACATTTTCTATTTTCTATTTTCTATAAAAAATAACTATATTTTCTTGAACCAAATGCTACTTTAATTTTTTGTTTAAAAATTTGATTTTTCAACCCAAACCAAAAACTCATCAAGATATGCTTTTAAAGTAAAAATATGTTAGGGATATTAGGATAAAAAAAATCACTTTATTATCCTTATATTTTGAATATTTTATAAATCTTATATATATTTTAAAATATTTCAATTACTCAAAATATTTTTACAAAATATCAAATAATTAAAATTTTAAATACATTTTTTCAAACGTAATAATAATACGAAATTAACCCCTTGTATTATTAAGTAACGTTTAATTCACGCAATTTAGCAATGAAAAACTGCCATTTTTAGCCACAAATGCAGAGCACCAAACCCCAAAAACACTCCCTAAAAGTGGTAAAGTCAAATTTATAAATGGCACCAAAGCCTCCCGAAACTCGAAAACCCCATTGCCATTATTGCATCTTTAATCAGCTTTTCAAACTTACCATATTACCCCTCCCCTGTCTGCCACACCATTGCTCCACAATGCAAATTATTAACTCACTCTTTAGAAAACAAGCAACAAAACTGAAAACCACGACAAAACCATTAAAAAAACATTATTAAAATCAAAGTCAAGGAGGAACCCAAAGTTTTTTATTGTAATAATGGCAGACTTGTTCTGCCCAGAATGTAAGAAGTTTACCGAGGTTGTCTTTGACCATTCTGCCGGTGACACTATATGTTCCGAGTGTGGCTTAGTGCTGGAGGCTCACTCTGTCGATGAAACCTCGGAGTGGCGAACCTTTTCCAACGAGTCAGCTGATAATGACCCTGTTCGTGTTGGTGGGCCCTACAATCCTCTTCTAAGCAGCGGTGGGCTTTCAACTGTCATTTCCAAGCCCAACGGAGGTTCCAGTGAGTTTTTGTCTTCCTCTCTGGGGAAATGGCAGGGCCGGGGATCCAACCCGGACAGGAATCTTATTCAGGCGTTTAAGGCTATTGCTACCATGTCCGAAAGGTTTGATCTTAACAATGATGAAAGTTAGGTTCTGGGTTTTTTTTCGGGGTTGTTGGGTGCGTTTGGTTTTTGGAAACACTTTTTTTTTGGGGGTTTGTTTTTACTTTCTTTCTGATTATGGTTTGTCTGTGTTGACTGCAAATGTGGGTCTTACAAAAAAAGGTTGGCGGATAAGTCTGGTAGAAACCTTTTCAATGGACCAAACACGCCCTTTTCACTTGATCGTTGTTTTAATAGGGTGGGTTTTTCTTGAAGATGCTCGACTCCTAGGGGCCTGCCAATCAACAAAAATTGGATCAAGCTTTTGATGTTTTCCTTTCTTTCTTTCTTTTCAAACTGCAAGCATTTTTTTTTTTTTTGATACAATAGCAAATGTAACTGATGCCATCAATTACTTTCTTTGTTTCAGGTTGGGACTTGTCACAACCATAAAGGTTTGTCACTTACTTTAAATTCATCTTCAAGCTTTTCTGCTTCATCAACTATCGACTTTTATTTCTCGGTTTGTTTTCCTTAACGTTCATGTTGTTTAGATTCAAACTCGAACTGTATTCTCAGGGGGGTTCTTGGTTATTGCTTTTGTTTAAAGAAATGGATATTGATGGAAAGTAAATATTGAAATGCCTTAGCAAAATGAAGAACTAGAAATGAAGATGGAGGTTAAAACTTGCAAAGTTGTGATAATGGAGTGGACAAGGATAAACGTTTCGAGAAGGGAAAGCTTGAAAACCTTTGTGGTTTATGTGGAAACGGGCTCATTCTTAGATTAAGATTCTTAGATTCCTTAATGGGTGTGATTCAGGGGATTGCTGATACTGAAGCAAGGGTGTCTGTACACACGATTTGCTAGTTGGGTTAACAACTGTCATTGCTAGTTGGGTTAACAACAGTCATTTCGAATCCGGAGTTTCAGTTAGTCCATGCAGTCGCTTTAAGAAGTTGCGTCCGGTAAGTCTGGGGTCTAAATCCTAGCAGTTGCAACCCCTTCTACTATTCCACCTCCTTTGAAAAGAAGAAAACAACTGTTATTTCAGAGCCTACTTTAAATTTAGGATGGATTAGTGCTTGGAAAAGCTGATAGTGGCAGCCATTTGCTTTAATGAAGCCAGTTGAATATTGTATTTCATATTCTCATTATAACACATTGCCGTCATTGTTAATTGCTACTGTAATCACTTCTTCCTCGTGACGAAATTACACAATTGCACGAATTTAAACATGCTTGAACTGTCGCTGCTCAGTGGATATTTGGAATCATCAGAACAAAGTTAATACATGATTAAACTGCAAAACGTCCTGAAGTCTTTTAAGTTTTAAATGTCTTAGCCATTCTGTTTGTTTTCCTCAACTTTATTTCTTTTAACTTCAATATAGAATTATCTACGAGTCCAGAATCCATGAGTTTCAACTTTTCATGCTGATGGAATATTCACTATAAATTTCTCTTTTTTCTCAATTCATTAGTCCTTTCTTGTTGTCTCCAATGATCTTTTGATTGAAAAGTGCTTGAATGCTTTGGCCCTTATTAATTGGGTTTGTTAGGATAGAGCTAATGAAATATATAAGAAGATTGAAGATCAAAAGCTTCTTAGAGGACGGAATCAAGATGCAATTATGGCGGCTTGCCTCTATATTGCTTGTCGGCAGGAAAACAAGCCTCGAACTGTTAAAGGTGAAGATTCAATTTATACCTTTTTCCCTTTTAATCAATTTACTTCATAAAGGTTTCTAAATGTGGATGGATTTCTACTAGAAATTTGTTCCATTGTACATGGCACATCGAAGAGAGAAATTGGTCGAGCAAAAGAGTTCATTGTGAAACATTTGGAGCTAGAGATGGGTCAGTCGATGGAGATTGGAACTATACATGCTGGTGACTATATGGTGTGTTTGCTGCAGTTTTATCATTTTATGTCATCCCTTTCCTTCTCTCAGATTTTTCATCCATTAGAAATTTTCTGGTTCTCAGTGTTTCATACTTCCATTATTATTAACTGTTCAGTATAACCTTTTACATATTTTCCAACCTGCAGAGGCGTTTCTGTTCCAATCTTGGAATGGCCAATCAAGAGGTTAAGGCTGCACAAGAAGCTGTGCAGAAATCTGAAGAGCTTGACATTAGGTCAGTTCTATTTGATCTGACTTTTAACAGGGAGAAGTAGAACCTCTATCCATCGACAATGTCTGCTTGTCCTGTTAGAAAAGAGTGAAACCTAAACCTTAAGGTTTTCATGCTTTAAGAGAAATTACTATCCTTAGAATATGCTCTGTCTAATGATATATATTGCTTTCAGCATCTGTTCCGTGTAATTCTTGCTTCATACTCAATAACACCACTTAAAATAATTAATAACTCCACTGTATTTAAGAGGGGAATGGGGTGAAAAGAAATAGAATAAAAACCAAAGGGAGGAAACGAAGCAGGGGAAATGAGATATAAGGTTTATGTTGCCTTTTTCTTTATGAAAGCCATTAATTTAATAATTTTGTAGACTCGTAGAATGTGATTCAAGGGGAAAAGAGGAGAGAGGTTGTCTCCTTGCTGAAACAAATTATTTAGGAAGAAAAATTAGAAAAATTTTCAGGAAACTGCTATGACTTCTTTGGCTTACCTTTGCAGGAGGAGCCCAATTTCAATAGCTGCAGCTATTATTTACATAATATCTCAACTATCAGATGACAAAAAGCCTCTCAAAGGTTCGAAATATAAAAACTATTCTTTCCTGGTTTTTATAGCTTGCCGTGTAGTTGATGTTTATGCCCTGTGGTTTCAGATATCTCAGTTGTTACTAGAGTAGCTGAAGGAACCATTAAGAACTCTTTCAAGGATCTTTCTCCGCACTTGTCGGGGCTAATACCCGCATGGTATGCCACCGAGGAAGATATCAAGAATCTCCAGCCCTAAAAATGCTGTAAGTTGAAAACAAAGCTAAAGCAAGATTAGGCTTTCTTCATAGAGATGAGACTTCTAGTAAATGATCCTACCCTGTTGACCCCTTCATGTAAATAGAACAGGTTTTTCTTCCTTCTTGTGGTAAACTGGAATGAGGGCCAAGCATTCCTAACTATTACAACTTGTTTTAATTTGAGCCCTTTGGCAAGTGTTTCTTCTGAGATGCTCCACATGCAAAATGGGACCATTTCACTTTCTTGGCATCTACTTATTACAAGGTTATCGTACCCTCCATTGTTGAAGCAGAAATTTTGCTTTTTTTTGGATAAATGCAATTCCATCCAAAAAGAAGCAGGGAAGGATCACCTACAAAGGGAACCAAATTGTCATCCTTAAGAGGTGGCATTCAATAAGTTAAGTTTGTAGTTCTAATCTCAACATTTACAATTGCTTTTTTTAATTTTAGGTTGCGGCTTCTTTTGTTCCCAAAAAAATAACCAACCGGTCAAAACAAAAGGCGGGGACAAAAGAAAACAAAGTCAAAATAAGCCCAATAGTTTGTTGTATGTTCTTCATCTCCTTCATAAGCCTTTATATTATTGCAAGCTAAAATCTTGAGCATAAACTTGGCCATGCATACATTCTCTCAACCCCATCAGATTCATATTTATCTTTGTTTGGACAAGCATTCCACAATAAATAAATGAATAAATAAATAAATAAATAAATAAAAGGTTAGAAACAAAGATGATAGCAATGCTGTTGGTGAATGCTGGCAATAAAAGGAAATTCGTTAGTATTTTTTTTCTTGGGCCATTAGCTCATCTCCAAAGCGCGCCTAAACTGCTTTATCTGACCTGTTCTTCTTTATCTGCTCCTGCTCCATCTTCCCTCTTCTTAAAGAGATGAAAATGGAGAACATTGTTGTTTTGGTGGGGTTAGCCTATCTGTTCCAGACCATTGCACAAAATAAATCTGTAAAACTTTAACTTAATCTAAACCAACCGATGTATGCTTCATGCGCCTAGACGGATTGACCAATGTAAATCCACATAAGTTTGTCTGGATTTGATATTAATGACCGTTTTAACTTTTACCAGTCTTCACGATATTAATGGAATAATGATGTTAACGCAGTAAAATCCTTTTTTTTTTTTAAAATTGCTTTTATGTACGTATATCTCTAAAGTGAAAAAAAAAAAAAAAAAAAAAAACAACAACTTAAAGTCAAAGAAAGAGAAGAGAATTGGAAAAAAATGTCTATGTAGAGTTTTTTTTTTTGAAAAACACATACCATTTTTTGTCATGTTATACAGGATTAAATATAAAAGTAACTCTCATACTAATACATTTTTTGTTAGTGTAACATTTAAAGAAATAAAATTATCAATTTGATACTTTAACTTATATTTTGTTATTCATTTTGGTATCTAACATTAATGCAATTAATCAATATCTTATTGTATTACGAAAATCTAATAAAATATTAACACATATCAAAAAAATTAGGTCAATGTCGTATTATTAATTGTTATGTTAGCATTAAAATAAAATTTCACAAAAATTTTTTTAAAAAATTCTTAAAATTTTAAAAAATTTATAAAAAAATTTAAAAACTGAAATATTTTAAAAATTAAAAAATGATGAAAACTTTAAAAATGAAAAAAAAAAAACTCAAAATTTTAATAAAAATCCCAAAAAAATTTTAAAAAATTTGAAAAAGCTCAAAAAAATGAAAATTTTAATAAAATAAAATTTTCTTCAAATTAAAAAAAAAATCCACAAAAACTTAAAAAGTTGAAAATAAAAAAATCTAAAATTTTTTGAAAAATTCTAATTTTTTTTAAATGTAAAAAATTTTAAAAATAATGAAAATTTTTTTGAATCTTACAAATTTAATTTTTTGTATATTTTATGAACATTTTAGATTTTTTAAATTCTTTTTGGATTTTTTTGTTAAATTTTTTTTATTTTTTATTTTTGAAACTTTTTTAAAATTTTTTAGAATATTTCATATTTTTGAAATTTTTTAATTTTTCAAAAATTTTAAGAAATGTCATAAATTTTTAGATTTTTTAAAATAATTTTTTTAATTTTTAAATTTTTTCAAAAATTTTTAGATTTTTTTATTTTTTATTTTTAAGTTTTTTTATCTTTTTAAATTTTAAGAAAATTTTATTTTTATTAAAATTTTATTTTTTTCTTTTTGGACTTTTTATTAAAATTTTGAGATTTTTTAAATTTATGAGCTTTTCATGTTTTTAATTTTTATAATTTCAAAAAATATTTCATATATATTTTTTAATTTTTTATAATTTTTAAAAATTTTTATTTAATACTGACATGATAATTGATGACTGTTACTTTTTAAGCTTATAAGTGCATATGCCGCATACAAGTATCAATAATATAGTATTGTTTCCTCAAGGATTGTGCTTAGGGTGTAAAATTAATTACCAAAGGAGATTCTTCCTAGTTTTATATTTAGACAAAAAAAAAATGAATGATTGAAAGTAAAAGTAAAAGTAAAAGTAAGAGATAAAGTGAAAGTGAAAGTGAAAGTAAAAGTATTCAGAATGTAAAACCAAATGTCAAGTTAACCAACTATCACTTGGTAACTATAAGGAATAGGTCAAATGTAAAGAAAATATAATAAAGAATAGAACCAAAACTTCAAAGTTTTTAAGGTAAAGAAAAGTGGTTTTAAAATAAAGAATACATGTGCAAATAAGAAAAGAAAGCTTGTGATTGAAAATGGAAACAAACTTGTATTGAAAATAACTTAAGAAAACAAAAGAATATTGGTTAGTGTATTACCTTGGTTGAATCTAGAAAGAATTACAAGAAACAATTGAAATTGAAACTAGATAAAAAATAGGAGAAAGAAAGTAGAAACTAGAACAATGGATGATTTAAAAGTGAAATAACCTAGTCTATTTATAGCACAAAGGTTGGCCTAAGGGGATAACTCTTGAGAATTCCACTTTAGCTTAAACTCTTTTAAAATTGAAATGTGATCTTGAATTTGAGAAGAGTTTGGTCGAATGTGAGAAGCTCTTAGATAAGATGAAACTTGTATTGGTCAAATAGGATTCCTTCATTGGCCCATTTGTGCTTACTTGCTTAAGTGTCTTGTCAAGTCAGCATCTTTCTTTAATTCAAATAGGATGGTTGGCTAAGGTAAATTCCAAGACCATATTTTCTTAATTTGTTTCACTTGAATAGAAACACTCTTTTAAAAGAGTCCATTGTGTATAATAGCTCTTACCTTGACCTTTTTAATGTGTTTTACTTGCTCAAAACTCTTTTGAGATTAAAAAATATCCTCATACAATAAAACTTATTCTTTAGGCGAATATAATATGATCATCCATTGACTTTTGGGTTAGCTATATGTTGAGCTACATATTGCCAACTTTGTATGGGTTTTATCTTCTCTTAGGTGCATAACCGAATAGGCATGAGTATAAGTTTCTTATGTCTTGGTCGAATATTATCCATCAATGAAGTGTATTGGCCACCTTATTGCATAGTTTGCATTGATTATGCTATTCATTCTAACTAACTAAATTTTCCATGCAAATTCGAAAATCAAGATTTCAATACATTAAAGCACCAAATTCATGAAAATTTTCAAAATTTTGAAGTTAAATGGACTTATAAAAAGTTATAAATTCTATAGTCATCAATGACGTGATGTTGATTAAATTTTTTTTTGACATATGTCAACATCTTATTAGATGTTCATGCCATGTCAACAAGTTGACAGATGATGTTAGTCCCAAGTACCAAAGTGAATGATGGAACAAAAACTGAATTACCAAATAGATAATTTTATTTTTAAGTACCGAACTAATAGAAAATGCATGGTATAAAAGCTAATTTTATATTTAACCCTTTTATATACCAAGTCCTGTTCTCTTATTCCACTTTAAAAATTGAAGTGCATATACAAGAAGCTTTTTTTGCTAACTTGAAAGCCAAAAGCCAAAGAACCAAACAGAAAGCAAAGGACTTAACTTATAGAAAGGCCTGCTTTTGTATTAGGCTACTGAAAAAAACAAAAGAGAAAAAAAAGACTTTTGCATTAAACTTAAGAGCTGAAAAGAATCAAAGAAAACCAATGAAGATGATGGTGCCTTTAACAATGACAGAGATGTGGACAATAATGGGCTTAACCATTGCGAGCTTCATGTTCCTATATGTTGTAGTTTGACAAGATTGCCATTACAAGGTTTACTTTGAAAAATATACCCAATGAGGTCCATGTCATATTATCAAGAATAGGAACAAAGGTATTATAGGCTTATATTTTACAAGCGATATAGGGAGATGATAATTAAGGCTTACTTGGTGTCATAACGTATAGATCCATTGACCTATCGCTAAACATAGATTAATAGAGTTGTCACCAATTTTTTTTGTTAAAGTGTGATTGATCACCTAACAAAACCTGTCATATTTAAAAATGAGTACTAAGATTGACTTAGAGCATTTTTAAATATTAGATTCTAGTTCATAAAATCAAATTTTAGGTTCGAGAGTACGGTTATGCATAAAAAAGATTATAGCATCCTCACAGCGCCTATTCAAATAATGGTACTAGTTTGATTTTAAATTATCCAAGCCTTAAAATATTCTTATAATTTTACAAAGTAATTTAATTATTAAAAATTGATCCTAAAATTATTCCAATAATTTAGTAACAATTTAAGATAATTTTATCACCTTAAAAGTCTTTACAGAGACTAATGTCCCACTTTGAAGAGGTTCTGTCGTCGGGTTCATTAATGTATTTTATTTAAAAAATAATCAGTAAAATCTTCTAATAGTTTAGTAAGTTTTACTTTGATGTAGATCTTCTAATAGTTTGGTGAGATTTTATTTGAAAATCATTTATAAAATTTTACTTTGAGAAAATTTATTAAATCTTCCAATATTTTGGTAAGATTTAATTCAAGATTTGATTTTCAATAGTTTGGTAAGATTAAAATGTATTATTTATTTTATTTAAAAAATTTATTAAATCTCTAATAATTTGGTATGACTTAATCTAAGATTTAAATATTTCAATAGTTTGGTAGGATTAGAAATTTTTACTTTTTTAAAACCCCTTTATATTAAAAAAAATCAAACAAAACAAAAATTATCATGCAAAATAATATTATGCAAATAATAATATAATATCATCAATAATAATATGAAATCATGCAATTAA